GCTCCTGGAACGTTTTGTGGTGACCTCTGTGGGAGACGTTCATAGCTGCCCAAAAGTCATTGAGAGCTGTCTGCCCCTTTCCTATCTGCTTGATCGCCATGATGGAGCGGATGTTGACTTCGAAGGCCCTCGAGTCTTGTTGGCGTGGCGTAGTCCAGGAACTTGCAATAATGCCGCAATGGGGGCATACAACCTCGAGTTTTGCTGCCAGTCCGAGTTTGGTGCTTTCTTGGACAGTCAGTCCAGTCCCCGAGCAATGCTTGCACACTGTGCAGCAGAGCAGGTTGCTCAAGACGTCGATCTGAACAAGGCAGAACTTCTCACCTTGGCTTGTAGCAGAGGCAGGCGTGGGATTGGGCAGCATGGCTTCAAACTTCCTCTGGGTTGCTGGCATAGCTCCAAGTTCGGTTTGAACGGTATCACAATGTCTAGCTTCTGCTTCAATCTCCTCACGTGTCAGGAAATGCGTCCGCAGATGGGTGCTGGAAGGCGCGCTCCCACTTGTCGCGGCAGGCGGAAGACGGTTGCTGGGACTTGTGATCTCGGGATGAACCACAGCGGTCGGCATGCTCAGTACTCCAGACGTGAGCGGGGCGATGCATTCTTCCTCGACGACAGCCGATGGCACAGAAAATCTATCACTGGAAGTGGTGACGCGATCATCATTGACGGCACGCCGCGCAGAAACTTCCAACTTCGCCATCCGTACTAACTTCATGGACCGCTTCTGCGCGCCATACGCACGCACCGTCTTGTACTTCGAACCCCGCATCGTGTGCGACCACGAAACAGACGGGCACTCTACACGAAACTACTCAAAGAAAGTTCGGAAAACGATCGTAAAGATGGCTAAAAACAAAGCAAAGCTGACAAAGCAAGAGCGCGTGGAAGCAGACCACAACCGAGAGCAGACGATGCGAGCAGGAGAAACGGAGGAGGAGGAGAACGCTCCGCGCGCGAAGAAATAGCGTCCCAGTCAATAGGAGTCGCGTGCTCCCCCGCACGATCCTCGAGCATGCGCTCTGTCCAATCGCGTTCTTGCGACTGCGACATGGAAGAACGGCGACCATGCCGTAATCACGCGGCCGACGCCATTTTGGGAGCTGGCAAAAAAAGAGAAAGAATTCACGTTCAAAACAAGACTAAGATGGCGGCCGTCGGCCAAACGCGTCGAAAACACTGATCTCCACTAGAGGGGGCTGGATGACGCATTGAGCAAACAGGTATGAGGCCACCGGAAGTAAGCGGCTTGTCCCGGAAGTGAGCGCTTGGCAGGCTCTGTATCCCTTTCGAGTGCTGGTTCGAAAAGTGTTGAGGGCGCTGGATTTTCGCTTCTCACCAAGAGAGCCTGCTTGTTGTGTAGTAAGAGGGCATGCAGACCCGAGAAGTAGCATGGGAAGCCGTTCATTGTAAACATTTTGAGATTCTAGCTGATCAAGTGTGCATATGCCCCAAGTTCAAATGCCTCATTTTCGTGGTTTAATTCGGAGCTTGATTATTAAAACCCACTCAAAGACACCGAAAAGTACGGACCAAAACATTGATTGAACACACTAGGAAGCCCAGCAGACGCCCGACTTTCGGGACAAGCATTCAACTTCCGGTGGCTTCATTTGTGCCCTGCTCGGAGAGCGGCTATGCGCCATCCAGCCCCCTCTAATAGAGATCAGTGGTCGAAAGTGGCGAGCGCGCGAAGTTGGGGTTGATTTTGACGTTTGACCGTCACTTGGATGCTACCCAGACCTCGTAAATAATTGTTTTTAAATATTTCCCCGTTGTATTTGGTGCTGATAATTACAGAGAAGGTAGTTTATGAGATATACAACCGAAAAATAAGGTTTTCAAAAAATCGACTTTTTCGCGATTTTTCGGATTTCAAAGCCCGCGTCCCCCCTTAACAGCATCGAAAATTGTCAATCTGCACCTAGATTCTCTTAAGTACTGGACTTGGTACACAAGTGCTCAAAAGTGTTCTGGTAAATTATATTTAGGTGCTGTAGAGTGCTAAACAATTCACATTTAGATGCTCCAAACTGCTCCAAAGTAAATATTTTTGTGCTCCAAATTGCTCCAATATTAATATTTGGGCACTCCAAACTGCTCCAAAATTAATATTTGGGTGCTCCAAAAATTGCTCTAAATCTAATCTCGGCAGTAGCACCACTGCTCTCTAGATGGCGCCTGCATGTCGGAAGTAATTTATTCCAGGAAAAAGTACCTCAGTTACAGGAGTGAAACTTTCCAACAGCATCCACGAGGATACTTGAAAGCCGATAAAAGACTAGTCCAGATGCACCAGCGCTACAAGGTAATCGGGACCGATCAAGCAGCTTCAAAACCACAAGATGAACCAATCTGTTTGCGATTGGTTCAGCGATGATAGAATGCATACATAAACACGATAAGCACCATGATGGTGTGCTTCTGACACTGCCTGATCGGTCTCATCAGCCCATAGTGTCAAGTGTGTCTGCACTTGAGGTGAAACAGTGTATAGCTTGATCATGCTGACAAGGACTGGGGGGCACGGAAGGCTACGAGCTGTGACAAAACGATGCCGTCATGATGTCGCCATGTCATGGCGTCGGGTGACATCACAGTCCTTTGTGACAGTTATTCATGACTGCTCTTCGCGACAGTTTTCTCCTAAGAGTTCAGCTGCAAAAATGTGTTCTGTGTTAAAACAAACATTGAATTCCTGTTCAGCAAACAAAAGCAATTGGTAGAAGAATCTGTGTAGAACACTGCAATCCACTTATAACGATACCAGACACAACGATGTACTGCTTATAACAATCAGTTTCTAGAGTTTCAAGACTAGAAACGCCCAGTCCAGATAAAACGATAATCAGTTATGACGAATGAATTTTCGGGTTTTTTTCATTATCGTTGTAAGTGGATTGAACTGTAGTCAACCGAGTCACACTTTCTTCGTACTGGCTTTACTCGATAATGGGTAGACCTTTAATACAAGGGCTCACGCATCTTCGACGTGCCTGCTTTGCACATCAAGCACATCCAGTTGGTCACTCTAATTTAGAGAGGGAGGGCAGCAAATGTGATCTATGGCAAGGTTCTGACCATGTGAACATCACGCTCAACATTCCGGCGCGGTTTCGCTTCTTTTTCTGAATAATATCTTTGCCTCGTTGTTGGTTTTGTGCGAAGAATTAGCCTCCAAGTTCTTGGTGAGAAAGTAAGTGTGCGGGTTTCGTTCATAAAAATGCCGACCTGTAAATGTGAGACACCACAGTGTGAACATTTTTCTATCATTTTGGTTTCTTTCACCTTTTAACATTAAACATTCCACTACGCTGCATTCGTTTCATCATGACAGCAAGAACATCATCTGCTGACTGCTCCGATTCTCAGAAACGTAGAGAAATTTTGTACAAAGGCTTGCTCCATTGCAGCAAGTACCGTATTTACATGATTGTAAGTCGACTCTATTGTAAGTCGATCCCCCCCATTGCACATCAGCAAACAAAATAAAATCTTTAGATGCGCATTTTACTGCGGACACGGGAGAATGGCAAAATATCTGTTTCGAAAGCCGATCCTTCAACACGCGATCGATGCTTTCTGGCATGCTTTGGCTGCGCATGCACGCGCCAGGTGCATGAGATGGCCAGGCGTTATCGGAACTAGGAAGGTCACGCTGGAGGCGGGACAACTGAAGCTGCTCACTGTCGTTCTCACTCCGTTTGGGACTTGACTACGACTCGTCCGCACTGGTGATGTCGGTCCCGTCGTCATCACTGCTACGTTCTCGAGGCACGTCGTTGGCGTCATTAAACGAAATCTCTCACTTCGCAAATGACATGATCAACCTCATCTTCCGCACTTGCTCGGCGATCACGTTGCACGTCACGGGTAGGGACCGATTGCACACTTTTGTGGCGTACGTTGCAAGCCTGACTTCCAACTCTGGAACCATACTTTGGCCTACGGAAGTCTCTGTTTGCTGTCACAGTTTGAAATCCCGCGCCACTGCAGCTCTACTGGAGCATCCCCCGCTCCGACGGGTCGAACTTGAGTCCAACAGCGCAGTTATTGGTTGCTTCTGAGTGAAGAATGGCCATAAACGAGCACCAAAAGCCTAAACTGCCCGGATCATGCGTGTTAATACAAAAAAACATAGCGTTCCAGCATGATCTCATCACTTGATCAAACAATGTGCTACCGTGAATCGTGTGAAAAACTGCGAAGAGAAGCCGCGGGGTGAGTGAGCCATGAGGCTGTTCCAGCGGCTAGCAGCCTCCGGAGTGGCTCTTACAAGAAGTGCCGCCACTCCATGGGAGTTGGGCGCGCCGTGCGCTGTTCACTGCCGTATATTCGGGTTAATTTGCGAATCGCGATCAATAATACTCGTTTGCGCAAATAAAAAAGTAGTTAATTTGTAAAATGAGCACATAAAATAGTGCAATGCTAGAGGTACAGCCGGCTGAACTCGTAACAAGCCGGGTGTTCATGATATTGCGATTGTTTTGTTTTTGCCGGTGGCGGAATGCTTTGGTTCGATTATAAGTCGACCCTCCCACTTCAGATTTTAAAAAATTGTAAAAAGGGTCAACCTACATTTTTGTAAATACAGTAAGTGCTGCAGACGGTCTTGCATCTACACTATACACCTTTGACAAGTGTGCAACCTGATAGCAGGTTGTAGAGTTGTCATATCATATGATGATATGATGTATTATCAGTATGTCATGTCATCATCATATCAAGGCGATTCATGCTACAGTAGAATCTCTTTATACTGAAATCCGAGGCATCACACAAGCCTCTCCCTCTTGACGGGAATTCCACCCAAGACCACTTTGAAGAAACGGTGAAGTTTCAGTTGCATATCTATAAAGAACCGCCCGTGAAAGTTCCACTAAAAGAGCTTCTGCCATATTGATTTAGCATAAGCGTAAACCGCCCCATGGAGGCACAGGACTGTTGCTCAAACTCTTGCAGATTATTCAACGGTTAACGAGCGTGTTGCTTTGTTTCAGCTCGGTCTACATTGGAAGCTTGGAAAGCAGCGGTGCGATTCCAACAGCATGATGGAATACGTAAGTACCCTCCGATCAAAAAGGGGCTCCAGTTTTTGAAACTCTACTCCACGTCAGCTTGTTCGTGCTACGGCTGCGAGGCTAGCACAGCTTCTGCAGTGGTGAGAAAAAAAGCTTATAAATGAGAAAGTGAAGACAAAGAGGCACTTCTTCCGTTCTCTCAGACTTTTGCTGCACAGGTGCTCTAAGTTGGACTCTTGGCGGGAAAGTTGGCGAGATCACCGACCGTCGCGATTGCCCGGTGCCAAATGTGGCAATGGTCGAGAAAACGGCAGCTCTTGCTGCCGTTTTCTCGACCAAATGTTTCCTTAATTAACTTGCATATACTTCCAAGAGTGGCTTTCGATCCGACACAAAGCGAGCAAAATTAGTTTGCCTTCAATCATCCTTTTATACATCTCGTCTAACGGCAATTGCATCAATCTTTTTATTACGAATGAAGTGGTCTGCAGCTTACACATTCTTACTGTGTTAGCCATTGGTCGGTGTCGGCTATAGGCTTTCTTACTAAGCCAAACTGTAGCCGACAGCCATTGCTGCAGTTTTCTTGATGAAATGTTTCTGCAATCAATGCACACAGCTTCCAAAGAGTGGCTTTTCTTCCAACACAAAATTAACAATGTAATTTAGCTTATGATCACAGTTTGACTTGTCTAACAATTTTTTTGTTTTTTTACAGTTTTTTTGAGTTAACAGTTTGCGAATTATGAGGGTCTCTTACCGCTGGTTCTGAAACCAGGTGCTGCTCATCGAATTCATCCCCAAGTTGGCCATCCATCGGCCCGACTAAAGGCCGAAGAGCCAGTCCCCCTTTCTCAAGTGTTGCCGTGGCGCTCGGACCAATGAGGCGGCAAGAGGGCTCTCGAGGACGACAAGAGCGCAGCGAATCTCTGTCACGGCGTAGCGAAGACGGCCCCGCCCTGAGCATTTGCTGCGTCTCTTTGGAGACCGTCTTACAGACAAGAAAATGGCGCAAGCCAAGAGTTCTTAGCCAACACCACAAAACTACTGTACCAAGTGCAAACGCAAGAGATCTGATGTGTCGCTTAAAAGAAATGAGTGAGCGGAGATAGGTCGCAAACAAAAAACAGCAGAGAATTGCACAGGTGCCTTTAATTTACAGTGTTAAAAGTCTAAGTACGTAGGACGCGCTTAGACTTAACAAACTGGAGTTTGCTGGAAGAAGCGTCCCAGACCTGTTGCTTGTTCGATGCTATCAATCCTTTTCAGATGTCAGCAGTTGCAAGCTGTCCGAGCGTAAACTCTGAAGCAGTAGGAATAAAGTTGTTAGCAAGCGCTCCGATCTAAAATACGCAAATGTTGTTGACAAGGGTGCTCGTAAAATGAGCGTCATCAACTCCGTAACGACTGCACCTGGCATTTGAGACTGCTTCCTCGTCGTCTGCCGACAAAGTTTACAACTTTATGGCGCGCCATTGATCATGGGGTTGGATTCTGTTGGCTAAACCCTTTTAACCGGGCAATCAGTTTCAGAAACGTTTGGAAAGGGTCCACACATCAAAACTTGACATTGTGTGTCTCGGAGCTTTGCAAATCGGCGCCAATTGTTCGCTTTTCACAAATACGAGCCAACTGTAAGAGAAGGATGCCATGAAGAGTGTGTTTGAAAACCTCCAGTATTGTACATTTTCCTTGTTCTTGCGACGCATCGGAAGTCCCTAGCCAGGAAATTTTTTCTTCCCCCTTTTTTTTTTTGTGTTTTTCTTGCAGAGAGAAAGGCAATGCAATATGAATGGTGAACTTTGAGAGGCCATGGATGACAGTCGTTTTGTGATAGAGGGTGGGCATGTATTTCTTTACCAACGGGGAAATGGTGATTTCAGTTTTGCGATACCGAGAGCATGTAGCTGGCCATGGCAATGTTCCGAGCGATTCTTATTGTCTGTTTTCTGAGATGTCTCGACATCCCAATGTTTTGTTGTGGTTGTGCACTTGTTTCAAAGAGTATTTTCTTTCAGAGTTTCCGCCTCATCTCGACTATTGTTTATTGTACAAACCTTCTTTTTGTGTATCATACACGTGCCATGACATAAGGAAACTCAATGCACGACACTATGAGAAAAAAATGTACTGCGGTGGCCACACAATTTCGCTGCACACCTTCGTCGAGATTTCTATTTTTTCTGCGCCGACGCTCGAAAGAAAACTTCAAGATGGCGGGAGGCTAGTGCCCCCAACGGCGGACAAGTATTCTCGGAATTATAAATAGCAAACTAGGTTCAGACGTTTTATTACTCTACTCTTACTGCTAACGAAAGCAACCTTGTAAACCAATGTTGCACAGCGAGTACAGTATCGTGTCAAGTGACAGTAGGCACTTGGTAGTTGTTTGAAGTGTGCCACATATGGCATTTGGCAAAGCACCGTGCGAGAGCTTAGGAAGCCTGTAGCCGCTACCAGTTGACGAATGCAAACTGAGCTTGAATTACTACATTGCCTTCAGGTGCCCTTAGTAAGAAAAAGCAAAATAGAAACGTGCTCTCCCTTCAAACTTACTTCGTCGGCCATTAAATATAGTTTTTTTTTCTTTTTTTTTTAGGGAGCCATGTATTATACATGTAAATACGGTTGAAAAGTGCATACATTGTTCTTGTTCGGTTAGGCAGGTAGCCTTTGTGATGACAGTACTTGGAGGCGCATATACATTATTCTTGTAACCCGAGGCACCTGTACAAAATGTTAAAACTTTTTTTTTTATTTTGTTCTGAATTATTGGCATATTTATTGTTGCTACGATCTCTCGCATCCTGACCTATGCATATCACAAAAAGTAAAAGAAATGAGTGCACGGAATTAATGGCAGCGCAACGTTGTGTACCTCTGAAGTGTGTGACATTAAAAGGAAAACTTGTACTTACAAACATTGCATTCCACAGAATGGTTGACTTTTTTTTCGTGGCATGATCATAGAAAATTACGCTGGATAATCTTTTATAACATATGCAAACCTTGCAGCCTTCAATTAGAACTGGTTGTGAAAATGCTGGTGACAAGATATCCAAATTGAGTTAATAGAAAGGTTACATTAGCAGTGATGTGATTGCTGTGCCAAACTGCGCCGAGGGGCTACCCTGCTACATTTTGCCAAAATATGGGTGTTCTGCGCCGAGCCTGCTCCAAAGGATTAATTTTGGTCGCCTTTCAAAACCGAAACTAGAAAGAACGTAATTGAGCATGCATGAGCTATGTGGCGCAAGCGGCCGCCCGACACAAAGTGCCCTGCATCCATCCGGTCTTGCATGGTTTTTGCCGCCGTCTCGCGTTTCGTGCCTCGTCGTCTCGGGAATCTCGTCTCGCGTCTTTTTTAAACTTCTTCAACGACAGGCGCGGGCGTGTGCGGACGCCCCGACGCTAGTGTGCCGGGTGCCAAGCCATGCCGTCATGCTGTGAAACAAAACCACGTTTTTGGGCGGCGAGAGTCACTTTGTAAGCTGAAACCCTGGTTGCGCGACGTCGGGTGTTGCCGTCCCCACGTCGCTTCAGATATGGTGCTTTCTAAACTTGTTCATCGACATTCCTGTCCTTGTTTAAATCATACTTTACTACAAAAATTCCTCTTTAAAGGGATACTACAACGAAATTTCGGCGCTTATCTCTTGGCCTATTCGTGTTCAAGGGAGCACTATTACATCAGACACATCAATCTCTTGTTGAAAAAGGCACGAAAAGGAATTTTAAAACGAATTAAACGATTAGCAAAGAGCACCTGGTGGATGTCGCCAACGCCTCGTTTGTAATGCCCGTCTAGGAACCTAGACAGCTGGTGACGGTGAGTGTCTCGCCTCCGGCCACCACGAGAGAAAAGGGGAAGGAGGGGCTTCCCTCCCCCTGAGAATATCCTTTGTCTACCAGAACTCGCTATTGTCCCCCTACAAAATTATAGAAGACTAACCCGCCACTCAAAATTCATACAAAAGCAGCCGCTTCGGTGGCTGGAACCGTTAGGACATCTCGACATCAGCCTCGCCGAAGCTTTGCTCGTTCCGAGATTAACTACGTCACGATTGCGGCGAATGTCACGTGCTCTCCGCTGGCTGCTCTCCAAGCGCTTACCAGAGAATACAGTGATCAGGCTCAAAATACAGACGTGCTGTTATCATTTACGGGTATGACAGACGCCCATGACAGAGATGGCCGCCGGCACGGTCCGCGCTTGGCTACGTCTACTTGTTGCTTTTTTTATCTACTCGCGCCTGCGTGCCTTGTTTCTCACCGACGCCTCTCAACGTGAATGCTCCGGGCTCCGCCAGAGACTGAATTGCCGGCCCTTATTCCTGAGTAACGTCGGCACCACCGTCGGTTACGCCGTAGCCTCAAGTGCCACTAGGCCTAAAAGCCCGCACCTCACGTCCGCCCGACCGCACGTCGTCTGGCTCTTACTTGCTGGCGGAGACATCTCCCTAAACCCCGGACCAAGGCACCCGTGCCCTCGTTGCGCCCGGGCCGTAAAGGGCAACACGGCCGCACTACAGTGCGACAAGTGTCAACTCTGGGTGCACCGAAAATGCGAGTACCTCCCGCTTTCGGCCTACCGCCGTCTCTCCTCATCTCCCGAGGAATGGTATTGCGGCACATGCCAGCTCCCGCGCTTCGAGGACGAGCTATTCGTAACAGTAGCCCAACAGCTCCCCCGCAGCTCCCTTATCTACTACACCTCGGAACCCACGAACAAATAACCGCAGCCCGTCCACGCCACGAAGAGAGCGTGCAACGCACCTAAACTTTTGGTACTCTAACGTACGTTCAATTAAAAACAAACTGCGCCTGAACTTAACACCATGCTCGAGTCCACAGACGACACAGTGTTCGCCCTCACTGAAACGTGGTTAGATGAAACGACACGCGACGGTCAAATTGCCGACACTACCCGTTACCAGATCTTTCGCAAAGACCGCTCCACCTCCCGTGGGGGCGGAGTCATGGTTCTCGCTCCGTCTCATATCATCTGTCGGCGCCGAGCCGACCTGGAGCAGGATAACCTTGTATCTTCGTAGAATTGCGGACTCCCCCGCAGCAAGTTCCTTCTGGCCTGTGTTTACATAGCCCCAAACACGCACTTCTCGAGCTTTGATTCTCTCCAGACTTCTGTCGACAGACTTTTGGAACTCGGCACATCCTATGCAAGTGTTTACCTACTAGGGGACTTCAATGTGCATATTGATTGGAGAGACCTATTGTCGTGAGTGGCATTCGAGCGACCGCCGACTGCAGCGCCGCGACGCGCCTACGCACGGAGTACTCTCGCCCCGGGGGGGCCAGCGAACAACGGGAAAACGGCGCAACCATGCAAAGACACGGCTGTATGTCGCTGACCGCACGTATTGACTTTAACCCGTAATAAACCGTTCTTGTTATACCCGAACAACGGCTACGACATGGTGGCAGCGGCGGGATCCGTCCACAACACGAAGTCAGCGAGCAACCGCTCCAGGTAGGCCGTACGAGCCGCACGAGGCGTCCAAGCAGTTGCGCGGGAAAAAAACGTTAGGCCTCATTGCCAAAGCACGTCCTCGGACAAAGGACCACGCCAACTGGCACGAGGATGGCAACGTCCCAGCAAACAACGCCTCTCAACCCGTTCGTGGTCAAGTTACCGGAAAAACTGGACTTCCGACGACCGGAAGATCGGAAACGATGGTTCACAAGGTGGGAACGATATCGAGTGATCTCGGGCTTGAAAAAACAAGACAACGAGACTCAAGTGAACACACTGGTGTACGCCATGGGCCGGGAGGCCGAGGACATCTTGGCCTCGCTGAAACTAAGAGACGCCGAGAAGCAAGACTACGGAGCGGTGACGGAAGCGTTTGGAAAGCACTTCGTGCCAAGGATGAACGTGATATACGAGCGGGCGAAATTCAACAGCCGTAAGCAAGAGCCACACGAAACTGTTGACGCCTTCGTTACGGATCTTTACAAGGCGGCCGAAACCTGCGAATACGGGAACCTGAAAGAAGAATTGATCAGAGATCGTCTCGTCGTTGGACTGATCGGCGTTAAGCTGAGTGAAAGACTTCAGCTGGACTCGGAACTGACATTGGAGACCGCCATCACGAAGGCGCGCAATTCCGAGGTGGTCAAGCAGCAACAGAGAGAGATTCGCGGAGGTGAACAAGCGACCCCGGCCGTCGACGAGGTCAGAAAAAATCGCCGCAAGGAAACAAGAAAACCGCTTATCCAAGCTTCCTATCAGCACAAGAACAAGACAGAAGCAGGACACTGCAGATGGTGCGGTGGCGCACGCGACCAAACGAAAGTGCATTGCCCGGCTTCAAACAAGACGTGCAACCACTGTGGAAAAAAGGGCCACTATGCATCAGTGTGCTTGTCACGAAAGGACAAGCATGAAACACTGACACGTGTTTCGGAGCGCAGCAAGGGCGTCGAGGAAGTTTACCTCGGTGAGGTGAAAACCCAGTCAATCTTGGAACCATGGAGAGTTACTCTCAAGGTCAACGGCTCGCCTCTCATGTTCAAAGTCGACATGGGTGTAGATGTGACAGCTATATCACTCAACGACTACAACAAGAAGACCATGGGACCCCTGAAGACCTCAGCGCAGACACTGACTGGCCCAGGTCAAACGCCTATAGTGGCAGCGGGGTACTTTGAAGCCACAATTAACCGGCGTGACACAAGCACACAAGACAAGGTCTTTGTCATCAAAGGACTGAAAGAGGCATTGCTAAGCCGACCAGCAGTCGAGTCTCTTGGCATACTACGGCGACCACTCGAGCTTGGGGAGGCATGTGCGAAACCAAGCAATATCTCCGATCTTCTGGCACAGTATCCCAAGTTGACGTCTGGACTCGGACTAATGAAGACCGAATACCATATCAAAGTGAAGGATGACGCCAATCCCTATGCCGTCACATACCCAAGGCGAGTTCCTCTTCCACTGCTCTCACAAGTGGAGAACGAATTGGAAAGGATGAAAGAAATGGGAGTCATCAAGAAGGTGGAAAAAGCAACGGAGTGGTGCTTCCCGATGGTTGTTGCCAAGAAAAAGAATGATGAACTGAGAATTTGCGTGGACTACGGTCAACTGAACCAACAGATAGTCCGCGAGCGCATGTTGATGCCGACAGTTGGTGAGTGTCTCGCAAGGCTAGCCGGTGCAACAGTGTTCAGCCGCCTAGATGCTCGAGCCGGGTACTGGCAGGTGCCTCTCGCAGAAGACTCACGCGAGTACACAACTTTCATCACACCTGTTGGACGGTTCCAGTTCCTCAGACTGCCTTTCGGAATATCGACAGCACCTGAGTTCTACCAACGAGAGATGCTCCGCGTGCTGGAGGGGCTGGACGGTCTGGCGTGCTTGCAGGACGACATTATAGTTTCCGGACGGACAATGGAGGAACACGACAAGAATCTACACAAGGTGTTGAGCCGACTGCAACAATCAGGAGTGACCCTCAACGTCAACAAATGCACCTTTCGACAAAGCAAGGTCAAGTTCCTAGGACACGTGGTATCTGCAGAAGGAGTAAGTGCTGATCCAAGCAAGCTGGAAGCCATCACTCAACTTGAACCACCGTCAGACGTGTCCGAAGTGAGATCCTTCCTGGGTTCGACAAATCACTTGGCGAAGTTCCTTCCCGGTCTGGCAGAGATGACAAAGCCACTTAGGGACCTGATGCACCAAGATGCAGAGTGGTTTTGGGGCCCGGTTCAACAACAGAGCTTCGACCGGATCAAACAGGCACTCTGCGCAACACCAGTTCTCGTCCACTACGACTCCCAGCAGCCGCATACACTCTCAGTCGATGCTTCATCTTACGGGCTGGGAGCCGTTCTTCTGCAGCAGGCAGGTGACAGGCTGTCACCAGTGGCGTATGCATCACGCTCACTTTCTGAAACAGAGCAACGATACGCCCA